CCCCCCACAATTTATTCTTTTTAAATGCCTTTATCATCTCCCCAGTACAACGTAAGCTCCAAGAAGAAAAAGACTTTCTCTTAGTCACGTGCTATATATCTTCAGAGCCCAAGCAACGCCTAGCATTACACTAGGCGCTGAATGAACAGTTATGATTTAACAGGTTAGACATCAACGTAACACCGTTCACGTACGGACTCTTTGCCTCTTTGCCAGGCGGCGGAGGGGTATTTAGTTGTACACACAACATTCGCATGCGTACAAGATCCGGGAAGTGTGTTAGGGAAAGGGGCGGAGCATCGAGGAGTCTCGCGCATGGAGGCGGTTGGAGCCGAAAGCGAAAGGGGGTGGGGGCTGGGGTTTGGTGCGGTACCCGCGTGCGCACTGCGGCCTGCAGCCAGCCGCGGCAAAGGAGTTTAAGGTGCCCGTGGGCGGGGAAGTGAGCTTGCGCGTGCGCAGTCCCCGCGGCGCCGCAAGGTCCCTGTGTGTGGGTCGTTCTGGATCGCGCCGCGCGTGCGCAGCGCGGCCGGCGGAGGGATTTGAGGCTGGCTCCACCCCTTGCCCCTGTCGCGAGCCGAGGCCGCGCGGGCTCGTGAGCAGCGGCCTGGTGCGCGCGCTGGGCGGGCGACTGAGGGAGACCGACGCGGGCGCCGCCGTAGTCGAAGCGAGAGCGGGAGTCCCTGCTGCTGAGGGGCCGCCGCAACCGCCGCGAGCCCCCGGACCGTCTCCAGGCCGAGGAGGGCGCCGCGCGGCGGGTGAGTGAGACTGAGTGGCCTTACGGGGTGCGGAGCCGCTACCCACAAACCCCTGCGGTGGGCCCCAGCCTTTTCCCCGCGGCCGGGCCCCCTTCCCGCGCCACCGCCGCAGGACCTTTCTGGACCCTTTACCCAGACTCCTCTGGGCTCCGAGGCCCTCTTCCCACAGCTCTCCCGCGGCCCCTTACCCACAGGCCCTTGCGGTGTGTTGCTTTTTTTTCTTCCTCGTCTCCGCGGCGCCCTGGACCCTTACCCATAATTCCTTTCGCCTTTGGGGGCCTGCATTTATTACCCACAAGCCCCCAGTTCGAGGGGCTTGTTGCTTACCAGATTCTTCCCTTGATCGGAGACTTCCTGTGATTCTCGCCCCCATAACCTGTTCTCCAAGGTGTGGGACCACCAGCCGCCATTGGTTTGGACCTCCCTCGTAAGGATCGTTGAGCCCCCCCACACGCTCGCAGGGAACCTCCCAGCCCCACGGCTCCTTGCTCGGGACCCTGAGACTTTAAGTCCTCGTAAACTCTTTTTCAGTCATCGCTGCCCTTACCAGCCTTGCCTCGCCCTCTCACAGCCTTCCCCCGTGAACTTTATATTTCTCATTCAGATTTAGTTCTTTGCCGTGAGCCATACGATCATTCCGTGTTCTTCCAGGACCTGCTTTAATACTGAGATCTTACTCCTTCTTTTTCTTCTTGGGAGTCTCGGGATTATAGGGGCTTCGACTCTCCCGGTCACCCTAACCTAAGGCCGTCCTTCCTCCCTCAGACTTGGCAAGATGACCCAGTTCCTGCCACCCAACCTTTTGGCCCTCTTTGCTCCCCGTGACCCTATCCCATACCTGCCACCCTTGGAGAAACTGCCACATGAGAAACACCACAATCAACCTTACTGTGGCATTGCGCCCTACATCCGAGAGTTTGAGGTGAGTTCGCTGAGCAGACTCTTAGTGGTTTGGGTTCTGAGGCCGGGGAACTGGATTTGAGGGTCCAGTTTCTGGACACTTTCTGTGTGATTTAGGCGGGGGACTTAACTCTTTCTGATTCTCAGTTTCTCTGTCTTAAATGGGGTTGATAATGCTTCCTTGTAGGGTTTTTGTGAAAATTCAGTAAGTAGCAGCTGAGGATTCAGGTTCTGGGGTCAGGCAGTCCTTGGCACACCATTTATCAGCCATGTGACCTTGGGCAAATGGTGTGTTCTCTTACTTGATTTCTGCATTTTTTGCCAGGGGATAGTAGTATTTTCCTCATAGTGTTGGTGGGGCATTAACTGCGACACTTATTACAGGGCTGGGCACCAACCAGTCAGCAAAACGTCGGTGTTACTGCGTTGACCAGTTTTGTTGTTAATAGGATGATGTTCGTGTGGGCTTGAGGATGTCGGCTATGCAACTGCAGGGAAAACACAAATACGTAACTTGGGCCTCTGTTTTTGTCGTTGGTAAAACTGGCCTGACAACATCCACCTTCTAAGGTGCATCAGAACACACCTGAGAAATGCTGGCACACAGCCAGAAGTCAGAAGCGGGAAGTTCTGGCCTCAAGTAAGAAAGGGCCGTGAAGGTGGAGGAAGCTGCAGGGCAGAAGTTAGTGGAGAGATAACAGGAGGTTGGCTCTTTAGTAGGATTTGCCACCCTCGGTGAACCGGTACTGGGAAGTGTTATTAGCTAATTAAACTAATTTAACGGCTACAGGCCAGTGGCGTCCTTGATGATGTGGTCATGTGGCAGTTACCGTTTAATGAGTGGCTGGGGAGATCTTCAGGAACTGCCCTGGCCCTCAGGAGGGGTCCAGTCATTGCTTCTGAACTGCACTGTCCTCTTCTTGGGCATCAGCCCTGGTCCCGATCTCTGTCTATGGTAACGGACAAATCTTTTGCAGATTGGGGTTTTTGGTAAACACGAAGGGATCGTTCTGATTTTTCTCGTATCTTTAAAGAAAGACCACAGAATAAAAGATCAAGTTTTTATTTGTTTATCTTTTAAACGTATTTATTTTTGAGAGGAGAGAGCATGCACACACAAGCAGGGGAGGGACAGAGAGACAGGGAGACACAAAGTCTGAAGCAGACTCCATGCTCTGAGGTGTCAGCACAGAGCCCAGTGTGGGGCTAGAACTCATGAACCATGAGATCATGACCTAAGCCGAAGTCGGATGCTCAACCGACTGAGCCATCCAGACGCCCCAAGATCAAGTTGTTTGTTTTTGTTTTTGTTTTCAGTTTTTTTTTTTTTTTTAATTTTTTTTTTTTTTGCAACGTTTATTTATTTGTTTGGGGACAGAGAGAGACAGAGCATGAACGGGGGAGGGGCAGAGAGAGAGGGAGACACAGAATCAGAAACAGGCTCCAGGCTCTGAGCCATCAGCCCAGAGCCTGACGCGGGGCTCGAACTCACGGACCGCGAGATCGTGACCTGGCTGAAGTCGGACACTTAACCGACTGCGCCACCCAGGCGCCCCTTCAGTTTTTTTTTTTAATGTCTATTTATTTTTGACAGAGAGAGAGAGAGACAGAGCATGAGCGGGGGAGGGGCAGAGAGAGAGTCCCAGGCAGGCTCTACACTGTCAGGCGCAGAGCCTGACACAGGGCTCGAACTCACAGACTGTGAGATCATGACCTGAGCCAAAGTCAGATGCTCAACCGACTGAGCCACCCAGGCGCCCCAAGATCGAGTTTTTGTTAATTTCAGCAGGCATAAAACTGCTCTATCAGGTTGCTGTAGAAGTTTCTGAATTCTTCTGATTTGTCTACTTTTCTGGTCACAGACTGGGAACAGTTTGTGGGTAGCACTGGTCTGTGGACCAGGTTTTGATGCCACTCCCCACCTCCACTGGCCTGGGAACTGTCTGTGTTTGCTTGTTTGTGTGTGAGTGGCTGAGGCACGTGTTGTTTTCTGGATGGGTGTCCCTTGCAATTTCCCCCTGTCCCTCCCACCCTGTCACCTGTCTTCTTATTTCCAGGACCCTCGAGATGCCCCTCCCCCAACTCGAGCAGAAACCCGGGAGGAACGCATGGAAAGGAAGGTATGTAATTTTCATCTCTTAGCCACATGTCGTTTTGCCATTTTCTCTCCAGGATGTTCCCTGACATCAGGGCACTTCTTTCCTCATTCAGTTGTCCACCTTTTTCCCGACAGAGACGGGAAAAAATTGAGCGGCGACAGCAGGAAGTGGAGACAGAGCTAAAAATGTGTAAGTCTCTCTTCTCTTCCCCTCTCTTTTTCTTCAAACCTTCTTGCATTTCTCTCCGGCTAATCCAACCCAGGACTCTAATTTGGGAAGGTGGGGGTTTTAGGCCACAAAGTTGGCCAAGCACTGTGTTTGGTTGAGGATTTAGAAGTACAGCGTGGGGTCAGGGTTGGTGGGAAGGGAGGCCTGGTACCTCGGGCTGCACACTGTACGGGGGAGTGCACTCAGGGAGACTCCCACAACCAGCTGGGTGTCCTGGGCTGCAGGACAGATCCGTTATAGTCGTAGTCATTAACCAGACTCACAGAGGGTCACGTCGGTCTCAAGTGGCCCTTTCTTGTTGGAGTAAGGATGTTGTAGTTGGAAGACTCGGTCTTTCTTTCAGCTCTTGTGAGGCTGGTGAATCGTGTCATTTTGGACCTTATTCCCTGGAGCAGCATGTTTCCTCAGGGCTCTTATGCAGATGCCAAGCATCTAAAGGCCTGATACCAGCCGAGAGCTCTCTGAGCAATGACTCACCAGAGCTGCCTTCCTGTCCTTTCTCAGACCCTGTGTTCAAACCGCATTCAGAATTTCCTCTTCCCACCTGGTCTCCTTGGATGTTTTCTTCCCTGGAACATGGCCATGTAGCCTTGCTAGTCATGCTCTCTGTTGTTGCCACCCAGTTTGTTTTTAACACTTTCTTTACTCCTTTCTCCGGTTTGTCACCACCACCTGTCCTGTTACTCTCTCAATGTCCCAGATCTGACCCTTCGCTGCATATGTGTCACCACTCAGGTTTTCTCTTGCTTGGACACACAGTAACCGTCTGATTACCTGCGTGCCTGTCTCCACCAAGTTCTTTGGGTCTTTTTAAAGTACAACTTTGTATCATTTTCTGCTAACAGCTTCCTTTTGCTCTCAGCTTAAAGATGAAAGTCTCTTTCCTGCCCGCTGTTTCAAACATGTTGTGCATTGTGCTTCCTTCCCTCTCGAGCTACAGCGGCCTCTTCTCATGCCTCGTTCATGTTGGAACGTCCCTTGGCATTGGGGTTTTGCCCAGGCTGTTCCCCCAGTCTCTGATGACACCTTGGTTTATGTGTAACAGCTCTTTGTATCCCTGTTCAGCTGTCACTTCTCAAGGAAGCCTTTCGTGACTTCCTTGCTCGGGTCAAGTCACCTTGTGCGCTGAAAGCCCCGAGTCCTGCTACAGGTTGGTCGCTTTGGTCTGCAGGGGAGATTTGAAGATCATCTCCACCTCTACTCTGTGGGTTCACAGCTGCTCTAAGAGAGCAGTGTTCGGATGCGATTTGCTCACCACCATGGCCCCAGCTGCTATAGGGCTCGGCACACAGAATTGTCGGCAGTTAATTTGGGGAGTCTTGGTCGCATTGTAGGGCACAGGCCTTGCAGTCTGACCCTTGTGCGTTGTAACCCCGATCCTGCTGCTAAACTGCCAGGTGGCCTTGGATAAATCTTTTCTCCCCGTAGAAGTTATTTTCCACACTTTTAAGAATGGGATCTTGGTAGGTTAAACAACATCATAAAGATGTAGTTGGTCGAATTCAGGATGTGGGAAAGGGTATAAAACAAAGTTGTAACTCAGTTTCTTTAACAAATAAATGACAAGGAGAAAAAGGGCAGGGAGTGGACCAAAAACGATTAAAGAATCAAAAGATCGGTCAAGCAAGCGATGTGTATGCTTGTTTGGATCCTGATTTAAATGAGGTAACTGCATTGGGGCGCCTGGGTGGCTCAGTCAGTTAAATGTCCAACTTTGGCTCAGGTCTTGATATCGTGGTTTGTGGGTACAGAGTCCTGCATCAGGCTCTGTTCCGTCAGCTTCAGATCTATGTCCCCCCTGCCCCGTTCTTTTTAAATAAGCGTTAAAAAAAAAAAACAAAACTAACTTTAAAAGTCCAGTTTTGGAAATAGCGGAGTACATTTGAACCCTGGATTTCGGGTTAAGGAGCTGACCTTAACCTTTTAAGGTCTAGTAAGAGTACAGTGGTGATGATTTCTTTAAAACTCTTTGTTAGAGGCTGCAATGCTATGTCTGGTGTTTGATTTAAAATACTTTGGTGGGATGGGGGTACAGATGAAGCAAACATGGCCATGTGCTGATAATTGAAGCTGGTTCATAGGGCTTCATTATATTCTTCTCTGCTTCCCTTAGTGTTTGAACTTCTGCATAACTGGAAAGATAAAAAAAAAAAAAAAAACGGGTCAAGTACGTTAGGGTTTTCATGGCCCTAAGAGCCTCCATCTCCAACTACAGAAGTTGGCTCTGCCTTGTCACCCGTAGCAGCTACCATTCGAGGGGACCTTGTCCCTTGTTAAGCAATTGGTGTACTTCATACCGTTGACTTCTCCCAGCTTCCAAGTGTGGCGGGGGGTTATTACTCCCATTTTTAAGATCAGGAAACCCGGGGCTCGTTGAGGGCAGTATACTTCCCAAGAGCCGAGAGTTTCAAAATACTTTTCCTACCATCTGAAAGCCTGAACAGGCTTTCCGGCTCCATAGGGCGTTTCTTCAGGCTCCTGCTCGGGGTTGCTACCTAGATAATCCCTTTAACCAGGGGTTTTCCAAGGGCAGAGGTGCCAGCACGGGAGTTCCCTGAGTTTGTGTGCACAAGTGCACCAACTGGTGAGCTGCTGACCGGCTTCAGTTCTCTGCTGCCCTCTTCCTGCTGACGTCTTCTTTTTGCAGACACATGGGTGTTCTCGGCTCGGCTGCACTAGTTTTTGCCTTTGGCCACATTCAAGGGCAACTCCTCGAGTAAGCAAGAACCGCAGAGAGTTCTGCGGTGTCCCTTGGATGCTGCCGGGCACCTCCACGGCACATCAGGAAGTTTCAGGTCTCTGCTGTTTGGCCTTGGTCCTCTCCCCCATCCCCTGCAACCATTGTAGCCTTAGCATTCCTACGCCGCCTGTTAGGCCACCTGCTGCCTAGGGTTGGCAGATGCGTTTCCCGTTGCAGCTGTGATGGTTTCAGGTCTTCAGTCAGATGTCCTCATCCTGGTGAGGCCTTTCCTGACCTGCCCATTACAACTCTTCACCCTGGGTCTGTCACTGTGTGATGGAACCAGATGACTTCCTCACCGAGTTTGCTGTCGGCCTCCCCGCATGAGTATCTGAGCTTCGAGAGGACGGGGCTGTGGTTTGTCTTGTGCGCCACTGAATCCCTGGCTCTGTACGACGGTTCCGGGAACTCGCCAGCACTGCACAGATACCTGTTGGACGAACGGACGAGAGCGGTCGGTGTAGATCGAGATACCGGGGCACAGAAAACTACGACACAGAAGGATGAGGGATGGTGAGGAACTGAAGGGGGTAGGCGCAAAGATGGCGTTGTCTTCAAAGGCCACCGTCACTTTCCAGGTAGTTAGGCTCAGTTCTCTGGTTTGTAATACATTCCCTGAAGTCATCTTGAGTTTCGCTTGTGTTTGCAGCCTAGCCTCCTCAGATCTGCAGCTTTATTTCTCTGGCTTCTTGCAGCACCCAGGCTGTCATCCTGAGAAGCTGGTGTGTAGGTGTTCAGTATGGAGCTTGGTAGTTAGAACACCGGGGCTGTGAGGTTGGGCTGGGACGTAAAGCCGGGCTTGGCCTCTTTGCTGCTCTGACACTTTGCCTCTTCCATGCTTCGGGCGTTGGCTTAGTTTCCGTTTGCAGAATGAGGATTCATTTTCACCGTGCGGCAGTGTCTGGGCCTAATTATGTGTTCAATAAATTATTAACGTTCATTTTTTTACATTCTCCTGGGATACGGCATGTCATTCTACGGGTTGTGCTGTGTCGTGTCACATGGAAGAACCGCCTTTGCTCTGAAGTGGTCGGGGTGCCTTTGGGACCCTGGCAGGAGTCGAGGACCGCTGTGTGTGCTTGGGCCTCTATAGTTGGTGAAAAGGACTTCTTCCCAGGCCTGACCCACCAGAATCCCCCCGGAATTGGTTTTGTAATAGGTTTTGGCTCCTTTGTGTGGAGATGGTTGTTCCTCAGTGGCCTCGTGGTAGGAGGGTTGGGAGTAAGCGCCTGTTGAGCATTTCGTGCGCTCCAGCACCAGGCCTGGGTTTCTCCCTGGGGCACAGAGGTCATGGGGCAGAAAGTAGGTGGACACTGCTAGGCTCTCTCCCAGCCTTTGAGCTCCGGTTTTCCTGAGGGCTGTAGGTGCAAGCCGTGTCGTTGGGTGGCAGCGTGGCCCCGCAGCTTGAGGGAGGGAGCCTGGCACCTGGAGTGGTCAGGCTGCCTCTGGATGCCCAGCCTTCACCTGGAAGGGGCTGGGGCTTTAACATATGTAGGTCTGAAATGTTGTTCAGACTCCTGGCCCCCATCCAGTGTCAGCTTGAGGTCAGCCTGTCCCCTTCCCCCATCAGCCTAAACTGGTTACTGAGATAAAGGCTGCTGTGCCCCAGGGAAACTGGAAAACGGAGCGTGTCCGAGGTCTCCAGGTCACCAGCAATTTTATTTTAACGGATCTCTGTCCGTCTGTCTTTCTTGCTGTGTGTGACTGTTGATATTTTCTACGTACACATTCTTTTCTTCTGCACAGGGGACCCTCACAATGATCCCAATGCTCAGGGTGATGCCTTCAAGACTCTCTTTGTGGCTAGAGTGGTGAGTCCCCAGCTCCCCAGCCCTGGAGCCCCAGAGAAGCCAAAACCCTGGGCTGCTGAGAGCTTGGGTGTGGGACAAAGGACAGTAGGCTAGGTCCTGGAATGTTCTGAGGGCTTGGGGATGGTTAATTTTTCCCACTTAACTTTGTGTCTGTCTGTCTCCTGGTAGAACTATGACACAACAGAATCCAAGCTCCGGAGAGAGTTTGAGGTGTACGGACCCATCAAAAGAGTGAGTGGACTGGGACGGGGGGTTATTTGAATTGGAAAGGGATTTGGTGGCGGGGTGTGGAGGGAGAAGGCTGGTTCCTGGCCCCAAGGATGCATCCCATCATTTCAGGGCTTCAGAGTCCATGGGCTGCCTTTCCATTCTGACTGTACTTCCTCGCAGGGGATTTTGGGTAGCAGGAGTAAAATTAAGAAGTGGTAACTAGCCAAGCCCGTTTGTTTACCGTTGTCTGCGGCTCCCGTTGCTGTGAGGCAGAGGCGGGTAGTCGGGACAGAGACTGTCAGGTCCATGGAACCGGAAGTATCTGCCGTCTGGCCCTTAAGGGAAGATGTAGAAGCGTGTGCCGATTGCTGTTGTGGAGCAAGGCTCTGTGTTTAACTGGCGGGCCTCGATTTCATCGAAAAGTCCCCTGAGCGCTCTGAGCAGTAGTGAGGGCTTGAGATCAGTGTGCGCGACCACTGCTGAGCCCGGTGCTGGGAGGGCATTAGTCACCTGGGGCTCTCAGGGACAGGGACGGGGACAGGGTGTGAGGCATCTGTCGCTGGCGTAGGCCGCCTCTGTGGTTGAAAGGGTGGGATTTCCTTGTCTGAGAACTCATCTCTGCGCCGCCCCCCACCGGCTGCCTCCCTCAGATACACATGGTCTACAGCAAGCGGTCAGGAAAGCCCCGTGGCTATGCCTTCATCGAGTACGAACATGAGCGAGACATGCACTGTGAGTACTTCTGGCCTGAGCCCTGCCCTCTGACCCTCTCTCTTCTCTGCTGCCCAGCCCCTTCCTGTCGTCTGTCCCCAACCCCTGCCCTGCCAAACCTGACATTAGCGATGTCTCTTCTCCTCCTCCCTCTGTTTCTGATATATCTTTTTTTTTTTTATATACGTGTTTTTTA